CAATCCAGAAATCTGACCAAATAATAAGGCAGATAGGAGAGTGGATATAACAGTGTTAATATTGAAGAATGTGGCCATGTCTCCAGGCAAGTGGATCACAACACACTCAAGAATTAAACTGCTTGTCTTTTTAAATTTTTATTTCTTTATTTATTTATTTGAGACAAGGTTATAAGACTGGCTACTTTTCGTATTTTTCGTAGAGACAGGGTTTCACCATTTTGCCCAGGATGGTCTCAAACTTCTGAGCTCAAGCAATCCATCTGCCTCAGCTTCCCAAAGTGCTGGGATTACAGGCGTGAGCCACTGCACTGCAACAATGCTTATTTTCTGAATCCCAAGTAGCACTGGATTGGAGCAAGCCTCTGAAAAATAGGGACTGCCTGGTACACTTACGAAAAGGAGGATCAGAGTGGAATGCAAACTTCCAGAAGACAGGCTCCTCCCAAGAGAAAAAGGGAAGAGGTCGAGCCATTTGGTCACAGTTATTCCTTCCACATTCACCAGATAGTGACTTATCCTCCAGAAAGGAGAAAGGCAGGGGCATAAAAAGGCCAAGTAAGGGACCTAGAGTGGACACTATGTCTGAACCTAAGAGGAACACACATCATCCAGAAATCCTACACTAGTGGAGCTCCCTCCACAACGAATAAAACCTCAGCAATGAGGAGAAAAGTTCCCACCACCACACACTCCATCCCATGTCAAAACTGTAAGAGAGTTTTGCTAGTCCAGTGACTCTCTCATACCACCGTTGAACATAAGTAAAAACAACACCTTTTTAAATTTGCATACTCTCAACCCTCTTTTGAGTGACACTGGTTCCCAATTAAGAGAGCAGTAATCAGTTATATAAACAAACAACGATCAATTATATGAACAATAATCAAGTCTCTATGACACTAATAAATGGATTTTAGCCAGGTAGAACCTACTTATAACAGGCACTTAAGAAAGGCTTGTTCTTTTCTAATTATTCTTTCAACATTTATGTAGCCCTTACTATATGCTAATACTGTGACATATTTATTTAACACTCACAATGACCTTACGAGTTGAGTACTAGTATTACCTCACTACTTAAATTAGGAAACCAAGAAAGGCTAAGAGTCTTGCTGAAGATCACACAGCCAATAAGAATGAAGCCAAGACTAAACCTTGGTGACTCTTATGCCAAAACTCATGCTCTGAAGCACTAACCAGCCTTCCATCTAATCATTAAGCTAGGTGTTTGTCTTATGATGTCATTCAATGTGCTTTAAATTAGAAATGCCAGTAGGACAATCAATTAATGAAGAAAGCAAATTGATTCAAATACTCTGCTTCACAAGTAATAGGCTCTCAAGTGCACAAACCAAAATTTGCTAGAACAAAAGGCCACATAAACCAGAAAAAGGAAGAAAATGTTTCCATCGTTTTTGACAAACCATTGCCAAGTATCTTCCAACTTAAAGTTGATCCTAGTAATAACTCGAACTCTTTGAGGTTCTATTTATCTCTATTCTCTGTGTCAATGAGACTCCCTTGTTTCTGTGGTTTCAATTTTTTCATAAATACCACTTGTGTAAAAAGGGTACACATAGAACATATATGCAATTTATACTGCAATTACAGCCCCTTACTGCTTAGTTATTTGCAGTCTTTAAGTTCAGATAAATGAGGGACATATTCCTAGCACATCAAATGAAACCTGACAAATATTAGGGGCTCATATAAACTTACCCAAAATACTGAATTAAATGAATAAACAGCTTTCAAGTGTTAGACTCAATAAAATAAGACACAGGATTTGTCTCTTTTGGAAATCTTAAAATTTATGTTCAGTGAATCTGAAACAGATTAATTTAAATGACTGGCTTTGTGGTCAAGTTTTTTTCTTAATGGAAATAGATTATTGGACCTAGAGTATACACTACATCTGAACCTAAGAGGAATGCACATCATCCAGAAATCCTAGACGTGGTGTTGAACACATCAACTCAATGTATCTTTCACTCCCCTTGGGGAGAAGATGAGTTTGTACTGTGTCATACTCAGGAAAGTTACAGAATTTAGGCACTTTGGGAATTGCCCGCCTGGGGAGAAGGGTATGGGTGTGTTCTGGTGTCTGAATAGCAGAATGTAGTAGGCTGGGCTTTGCTCTCTTTAGTTTGCTCATTTGCCCAGCAAGCCTTCCCACTCCCCTCCTAAGGTAACATATTCTGTCCCTTCGTCTCCACCCCCCAACCATCGAGGACAAGCACTCAACTCAAGCTGGCTGTTCATGGGGTCCCATTCCCCAGAACACATGCTTGATACAAGGCTTGGCATGAGACCCAGTCAGGCAGAGTCCTTCCTTGAGATGCTTCTGCTAGTAGCTAGCTGACTCATAATGTGGAAAATTATTCAAAATCTGGATTTCTGATAACAATCTTCCTTGCAGCAAGATAGAATAAAACCAAAGGCCCTGGTTCCTACAGCAATTCCTTCTTCTGTGAGAAACCCCTCTTCTTGCCAAAGCCAGTTTGAAATAGGTTTCTGTCACCTGAAGCTGAAAAAGACCTGACTGATATACCAGGTCTTTGCCACTATAGATAATGTAACCTCCCTTTGTGACATTGGTTCTATATGTATTCAAGTCCAACAGCCCCAAGGCCCTCACGAACTTTGTAAACAGTCTCCTGGCAAGTTGAGGATGAATTGAATTCAATGCATTCATAATGCTGACCACAAGATGGCGCCAAAGGCATTCTTTCAAAGGACTCTCGTGTCCTATGTAAAGAATCGTAGCTTCTATTGGGATGCAAAATCCTTCCATTCTAGATTATTCCAAATTGCACTCTGGTAGTTACAATGTAGCCTTCAGAGTATCACCCACATAATGGTCTTCAGTGAATGGCCAAATCACCAAAACACTGAATAAATGTGAAAGATGATGTCCGGTCATTTCTTACAGGATAACAAATCAACCAGCAACAGGTTCAGGAAATTTAGTCAAATAAAAATGCTCCAGGACAGCTGAGATCAACAAACCCCCATTGTAAATTCATTACATTAACCTGATTACCTTCCCCATCTTCAAGGGCAAACAGAACTTTACATTATTTTTGTTTTCCCGATTGACAACTTAAGGTCACAAGTTCATGTCCCTGTCTCTCAACCAGGTTTAAGGTCCATCAGCTGGGCCAAGAAGTCTCCTCAAAGCTTGCCTTCAGTTTCCAGATACAACCTACAACACATAAAGTCAAAACCGATACACATCTTACAGATTCTTTGAATTACGTTTTAAGGTGAGCTCATGAAAATGGAAGGAAAAGGCCTCTTGGGTAAAACACAAGTCTCCTAGCATCATAATAAGCTTCGTGAACTTTCTTTACGAAGAAAAGTTCTTCCCTCTTGTCTTTCCTTTGGTAGTAAAACCCCATCACATGTCACATTCTATTCAAAGCCAGCAATTGTCCTTTTGAGCACTTGGCATGTTCTGTAATCATATATTTCTATTCAATTGTTCATTTTTGTCCCCTTCTCCACATTATCTGTCTCCATGACAGAAGAACTATATTTTGTATCACTATGTACTTAGCACCAACAAAAATGACCAACACTCAGTAAATATTTATGTAGGCACTCAATAAATATTTATTGAATGAATAAACAAATGAGAACGTCAAAATTATGTCAATACAGAGAATTACTATAAAATAAGTGCAATCATTTATCAAGACACAATCCATGTCTTGATAAACAATGGAAGATACAGAAAACAGTCTCACATGCCAGCCCTCTTGGGTTGGTAGAAAAGCCGTCAGTATATTTGTCTGTTCCTGCATTGCTGTAAAGAAATACCTGAGAGTGGGTAATTTATAAAGAGGTTTCATTGGCTCATGGCTCTGCAGGCTGTACAGGAAGCAAGACTGGGAAGGTCTTAGGAAACTTACAATCATGGTGAAAGGCAGAGGGGAAGCAGGCACGTCTTATACGGCCAGACCAGGAGGAAGATAGTGAGGGAGGTGCTACACACTTTTAAACAACCAGATCTCATAGGAACTCATTCCCTATCATGAGAGCAGCACCCAGAGGAAATCCACCCCCATGTTCCAATGACCTCCCACGAGGCCCCACCTCCAACACTGGGGATTACAACTCAACATGAGATTTGGGCAGGGACACGGAACCAAACCATATGGTTAGAGGGCCCAGGATCACTGGTATCCAACTCATCCTAGCACACCCTCTCCTCTACTTGGTACAGAGGCAGACAACGAAGTTCTGGATCTATTTCTGCCCCCAGCAGAGTTCTTCCTAAACTCTGGCCATACACGGATCAAACTCACCCTGGTCTACAACCCTAAACAGGGCTCTCGTCCAGTTAACATATTTCCAGCCACCTCTCATTTGTCTTTTTCTCTCCTTGTTCTATTCACTTTTTCTGGTCATCTCAGTCAGGTTTTCCTCATTTTTATTAACTGTTCAGGCAAGTTCTAGCTTGTCTTCTGTCTAAAAAGTTGTTTTTTCCCACAAATTAGTATATGTGCAGAAATACCTGCATAGAATATGGAAACTGCCCACAACAAAAGGGACAGTGAACAACGCTTTACTGCCTCTGATTCTGTTCGGGTTATTTAACTTTAAGGAACAAAAATTAACTCCGGCTGATTTAAACTAGAAAGTAATAGAAGGATGTGTAGTAATTCATAGCATAAAAAAGAAAGGGCTAGGAGCGGTGGCTCACACCTGTTATCCCAGCACTTTTGGAGGCATAGGTGGGTGGATTGCTTGAGTTCAAGAGTTCAAAACCAGCTTGGGTAATAGCAAGAGCCTACCTCTACAAAAGGAAAAACAAAAAATTAGCTGGGCATGGTGGCACCTGTGGTCCCAGCAACTGCGGAGGCTGAGGCAAGATGATGGCTTGAGCCCAGGAGATCTGGGGTGTAGATCGCACCACTGAGCTCCAGCCTGGATGACAGAGCAAGACTGTTTAGACAGAGAGAGAGAGAGAGAGAGGAAAGAAAGAAGAACGAGTGCTTGCTTTGGCAGCACATATACTAAAATTGGAACGATACAGAGAAGATTAGCATGGCCCCTGCACAAGGATGACACGCGAATTCATGAAGCATTCCATATTTTTATAAATCTTTTGCCTTTTACTAAAGATTTCCATGGAGAGGAACAACTCTGAGTTTTAAACTAATTTTTTGAGGCCTTGCTTTCTAGCAGGGCTTTTTAAAAAAGCAAAAAGAAAGGAAGGAAGGAAAAAAAGAAGGAAGGAGAGAAAAAGAAAAAGAGAGAGAGAGGGAGGGAAGGAAGGAAGGAGAGAAACAGAAAGAAAGAAGAGAGGAGGGAGGAAAGGAAAGGATCAAGCTTCAGGGAGGATAGAAACGGCAGCTTTGAGGATTTGGGTAGCAGGAGCTTATGAACAGGTTCTCTCTTCAATGCACCTCTGCACTCCAGCCTGGGCAACAGAGTGAGACCCCGTTTTAAAAAAGAGAGAGAGAGGGAGGGAGGGAAGGAAGGGAGGAAGGGAGGAAGGGAGGGAAAGAGAAAGTTTAAAAAAAGCGTAGAATCAGGCTTCAGGTAGGATAGAAATGGCAGCTCTCAGGATCTGGGTAGCAGGAAATATGAACAGGCTCTCTCTTCAAGATGCCTTCCACGTAGGCAACGAGTTCAGTCCAGGTTCAGTCCTTATGGACACTTCACTCCAGGTGCTAATTTCAGAGAGAGCATCTGATTGGCCTAGAGTAGGTCATTGGACCAACCCTTGACTGGGGCACCTAGATTGACAGACATCCTGTACAGTGCAGACAGATCGACACCATGAGGCAGAATTGCTATCCCACCCTGCACTGTGTACCTTCACATTCGGTGAGTGGGGCATAAACTTTACCTTGTTTAATCCACTGTCATGATAGGTCTCTTCCCCTTGCAGACGAATCCTAACAGAGGCACCCATCTTAACCTTATTTATAGTTAAGAACACAATCAAGGATAGAAGCCAGCTGCGTCGAGGGGAAGGCAGTCTCTCCTCATGGAAATCAGGAGAGGAAAGAGGCATTCTTCCCTCATTAGTAAGAATTTCTGCTTGATCTGGCATAGGTATTTAATAATACCTACTTAATTCTCTAAGGCCTAAGGACCACAGAATTCAAAGGATCCATCAACTTGGGGGAAAAAGTTACATCTTTATTTTCACTAACCTCTAACTGAAATTTAAAATTTGTTTCAATTAAGAATTTACAGCCAGATGCAGTGTCCCACACCTGTAATCCTAGCACTTTGAGAGGCCGAGGCAGGGATGGATCACCTGAGATCAGGAGTTCGAGACCAGCCTGGCCAACATGATGAAACTTTGTCTCTACAAAAAAATACAAAAGAAAAAAAAAATAGTTCTGTGTGGTGGCACACACCTGTAATCCCAGCTACTCTGGAGGCCAAGGCAGGAGACTCGCTCGAACCCAGGAGGCAGAGGTTGCAGTGAGCCGAGATGGCACCACTACAAAGGCAACCAGGGCAACAAGAGCAAAACTCTGTCTCAAAAAAAAAAAATAATTTAGGCAACATCCTGGACCAAGTGTTTACAACTAATTGATCACAGCTAGTTACACATTTATTTGTTTCTTCTCCAATCCCACTGCCTCCCTTGACTAGCCTTTATTTCTTCTTTTGGTTTTTTTTCAGACGGAGTCTCACTCTGCCACCCAGGCAACCTTGACTCACTGCAACCTTCACCTCCCAGGTTCAAGCAATTCTCCTGCCTCAGCCTCCCAAGTAGCTGGGACTACAGGTGTGCACCACCACACCCGGCTAATTTTTTGTATTTTTAGTAGAGATGGGGTTTCACCACATTGGCCAGGCTGGTCCCAAACTCTTGGTCTCACATGATCTGCCCACTTCAGCCTCCCAAAGTGCTGAGATTACACCCTCAGCCGACTAGCCCTTAAAAAACAAAAACAAAACAAAGAATTTAGGCAATGAACCAAGTATTACAGTATTAGGCAGCACCTGTGACTTAACCAACCAATATTATAGTTATTTTTGTAATACTTTGTAGTTGCTGCAGATATCATAAAATATATACACTCGTCATTATTTTCCAATCACAAATTATTAGACCTACCTATAGAGTTTAACATGTTGCTTAGAACATCTGCTACAAATTTTCTCTTTTAATACTGTATTTCAATATAATTGGTTTCTTTTGTGATCCTATTTATTTTATATTATGCATTGAAAAATATTTTTCTGAGCTTTACTGGGCTAGTCTATGAATACACAGCACAGCAAAGGTTTCACCATGTTGCCTAGGCTGATAATTTTTTATTTTGTAGAGACAAGGTCTCCCTACGTTGCCCAGGCTGGTCTGGAACTCCTGGGCTCAAGTGATCCACCCACCTTGGCCTCCCGATATATTTCAATCACTGTTCTATAAATAACCACATAAAAAAGGGGGCAAAGGACATGAACAGGCAATTCTCAAAAGAAGACATACATGCAGCCAACAATCATATGAAAAAAATGCTCATCAACACTAACCACCATCTCACTAAACCACAATGAGATACCATCTCCCACCAGTCAGTATGGCTATTAAAAAGGTAATATATTATTAAAAAGATAATATTATTTTAAAAAAACAATAACAGATGCTGGCAAGGCTGCAAGGAAAAAAGAACGCTCATGCTGCTCTGTTGGTGAGAATATACATTAGTCCAGGCCGGGCGTGGTGACTCACGCCTATAATCCCAGCACTTTGGGAGTCTGAGGTGGGTGGATCGCAACAGAATAGGAGTTCAAGACCAGCCTGGCCAACCTGGTGAAACCCTGTCTGTACTAAAAACACAAAAATTAGCTGGGCATGATGGCGGGCACCAGTAATCCCAGCTACTCAGGAGGCTGAAGCAGGAGAATCACTTGAACCCAGGAGGCGGAGATTGCAGTGAGCTGAGATTGCACTCTGTCCAGCTTGGGTGACAGAGTGAGACTCTGTCTCAAAAATAAAATAAAATAGTTCAGCCAATGTGGAAAGCAATTTAGAGATTTTCAGATAATTTAGAACTACCATTCAGCCCAGCAATCCCATTACTGGATATGTGCCCAAAATCATTCTACCAAAAAGAGACACATGCACTCTGCAGACCGGCCTCCACATCGCTGTCCCGCCTCTTGTCCTGCCTTTCTCTCACTTGTATCTGACCTTCTGGACATCTGGGATTCTCACTGCCTGCCATATGTTTTGTGCTGTTGACTTCTCTTGGAGTCTGAACATGTTCCTTCTCCTCTGAATGACTGCCTCCCACTTTTCCATAGCATGAGCTTCTTTAACACCCAGCACATATCGTCATCTCTTTGGAGCTGCTTATTCCCTCTGTCATATTCCCATAGCCACATCACCTTGAACATAATTCAGAATAACACACAACACGCAGCATCCCTTGTCATTCTGAGTATCCGTCTCCCAACTAAGCTGTTACTTCTACTGCCCTGGGCTCGGTAGGAATCGTCAGCTAGCCCTCCTTGATCCATCTCCTCTCATGCTGGTTTTGTGGCTGACACAATTCATCCCCTCTTTCTTTGATTCCCAAGACTCAGTCACCACTGCATGCAGACATATCTTATCCTTGTCTCCTTTTGCTTTGGTCACCGTGCCCTAGCAAGACAGCCTGGGTCCTCCTCATTCTGACTGCAAGGCATCCCCACCCCAACTTCTCTAGTCAATTTCATGCCCCTGTAGGGAACTCTTCTGTGCAGCTTCATGTGCGGGGGGATGGATGGGCAAGGGGACATGCTGGCTGGACCTGCCACACTACCACTCAAGCCCTTCTTCAGCTGCACCATATTAGCAAGTGGGCTAGGACAGAAGGGCTTCTTGTCCTTCCGCCGTCTTTAGGCTCATTTCACAAATGAGTAAGTGGGGCTTACAGAGGCCAATTTACTGGCCCAGTGTCACGTAGCTACTAAATGGAACACTGATTTTCAGCCCAATCGTGTTTAAGGCCAGAACTCAAACTCCTAACATAGACCTACTATGTGTCAGACACCACGCCATGGGCTGGAAATACAAGGAAAAACAAGATACAATACCTGGCCCTGCCTTGGTCTGCTAATGATACAAACTACTATATTCTGCTGCTGCCGCTGCTGCTGCTGCTGCTGCTGCTTCCTGCAGTGATGTTTCTGTCAGGTAAGAAACAATGACTCATCCTTTGAAATCTGCTTGATAACTACTCACTCATCAGCAATGTCGTATACTGCAAAGATTACAGGACTTACGGTCTGAAGCTTCTAGTTCTAGCCTCTTCTGTTATCAGTTCAGTGTGGGCCTCCATTTTCAATATGAAAAAGAATAAAATATGTGCACAAATAGGCTCAGGGATATTGTGAATTTCACAGACTTGAAACATAACACCAGGCTCAGTGGCTCACACCTGTAATCCCAGCACTTAGAAGGCCAAGGCAAGTGGATTACTTGAGGTCAGGAGTTCAAGACCAGCCTGGCCAACATGATGAAACCCTATCTCTACAAAAAATACAAAAATTATGATGACACATGCCTGTAGTCTCAGCTACTTGGGAGGCTGAAGTGGGAGAATCACTTGAGCCAAGGAAGTTGAGACTGCAGTGAGCTGCAATTGCACCACTGCACTCCAGCCTGGGTGACACAGACCCTGTCTCAGAAAAAAAGAAGAAAGAAAATCATAGACTTAAAAGCCTTCAGTATAAGGTTGAGGATTATTATTATTACCAATCTGAAGTCACATTGCACATTCTTCTACCAAGGTTTTCAAACCTTTTTATAAATAGTTATAATCAGTTCATAATAATTTTTAAAAGTCAGGGGAGGGAAATGATGGGAGAAGTAAGGAACTGAGCAGATGGATACAAAGGCATGGTTATTGTTCTGGCTCTTGAGTTGATCAGTGGTTCCACAGATGTCAATTTATTAATATTCTTAACTTGTATATATGTTGCAAGTGTTCTTTTCATATATTAAATATTGAATACTAAATGTTTGAATTTTTAATTTTAAAAGTGAGGCATTATTGGGGGGAAAAGCCTGCAAAGCAAGAGGCTAAAAATATGAGACTATCTTCCAGGGAATTCTTTTGTTTGGGATTCTTTTATCAAGGGAAC